TTCAATTATACTCTTGTAGTTATTTTTAAATGTACAATTACATTAATTTTGACTACAGTCACCCTTGTGCTAGAAAATACTATATCTTAACTCTTTCTATTTTTTTGTATGCATCAATTATTCCCACTCTCCCACCCACTGGTAACCATCAGTGGATTGATTATGGGCTGGGGGTGCATATCATTCTCAGCCTCTGGTAAACGCTATTTTATTCTCTATCTCCATGAGTTCAATTGTTTTAATTTTTAGCTGCCACAAATAAGTGAGAACCTGCCAAGTTTGTCTTTCAGCACCTGGCTTATTTTGCCTAATGTGATGACTTCCGGTTCCATCCATGTTGTTGCAAATGACAGAATGTTATTCTTTTTTGCAGCTGAATAGTAGCCCATTGTGTACATGTACCACATTATTTATACATTCATCTGTTGATGAACACTTAAGTTGCTTTCATATCTTGACTATTGTGAATAGTGCTGCAATAAACATAAGAATGCAGTTTTTTTTTAATATAATGATTTATCTCTCTTTAGGTATATACCTAATAGTGGGATTGCTGCAGATAATGGTAGTTTTATTTTTAGTTCTTTAAGAACTCTCCATACTGTTTTCCATAAAGGTACTAATTTACATTCCCACCAACAGTGTATAAGCATTCCCTTCTCCCTGCAGCCTCACCAACATCTGTTCCTTTTAGACATTTTGATAATAGCCATCTGACTCATGTAAGATGGTATCTCATTGTGGTTTTCATTTGTATTTCTCTGATGATTAATGATGTTTAGGATCTTTTCATATGTTTGTTGACCACTGGCATATGTCGTTTTGGAAAATGTCTCTCTGTTATGTTCTTTGCTCACTTTTTAATGGGATCACTTGTTTTCCTCTTGTTGAGTTGTTTGAGTTCCTTGTAAGTTGTGGATGCCAGTCCTTTGTCATATGCGTAGTTTGCAAATATTTTCTTCTGTTCTCTAGGTTGTCTGTTTACTCTGTTATTTCTTTTGCTATGCAGAAGCTTTTTAGTTTAATTGAGTCTACTTCTGTTTTTCTTGTGTTTGATTTTGAGGACTTTGTCATAAATTCTTTGCCTAGGCCAATGTCTAGAAGAGTTTTTCCTAGGTTTTCTTTCTTCCAGAATTTTTATAGTTTCAGGTCTTATGTTTAGATCTTTAATCCATCTTGAGTTAATTTTTTGTACATGGTCAGAGGGCTAGGTCCAGTTTTATTCTTCTGCATATGGCTATTCAATATTCCCAGCACCATTATTGAATAGGGAGAGTGTCATTTCCCCAGTATACATTTTTGCTGACTTTGTCAAAAATTGGTTGTTTGGATGGTTGATTGGATGTGACTTTGTTTCATGGCTCTTTCTTCTGTTGCATTGATCTATGTCTATTTTTATACCAGTACCACATTGTTTTGATTACTATAGCCTCATAGTATAATTTGAAGTTGGATAATGTGAAGCCTCTGGCATGGTTCTTTTTGCTTAGAACTTCTTTGACTGTTTTGGTTCCATATCAGGATCTTTTTTTGGTTCCATATGAATTTTAGGACTTCTTTTCTAATTCTTAATAAAAGGACATTGGTAACTGGATAGGGATTGCATTAAATCTGTAGATTGTTTTGGCCAGTATGGCCATTGTGAAAATATTGATTCTTCCAATTCATGAGCATATGCTATTTTTAATTTGTTTATGGAATCTATGATGTTTTTCACTAGTGTTTTGTAGTTCTCCTTATAGAGATGTCTTACCTCCTCAGTTAAATACACTCCTGCTTATTTTACTTTTTTGAAGCAATTGTAAATGGGATTGCCTTCTTGTTTTGTTCCTCAGCTAGATCATTTTTGGTGTATAGAATCAGTACTGATTTCTGTACATTAATTTTATATCCTGAAACTTTACTGAATTTATTGATCAAATTTGAGAGTTTTGTAGTGGAGTCTTTGGGGTTTCCTAGATATAAGATCATAGCATCAGCAAACAAGAATAATTTTCCTTCCTGTTTTTCAATTTACATGCCTTTTATTTCTTTCTCCTGCCTGATTGCACTGGCAAGGATTTCTAGTACTATGATGAATAACAGTGGTGACAGTGGACATCTTTCTCATGTTCCAATTCTTACAGGAAATGCTTTCAACTTTTCCCCAGTAAGTATGATGTTGACCTTGCGTTTGTTGTATATGGGCTTTATTATGTTGAGGTATGTTGCTTTTATAAATGGTTTGTTGTGGATTTTTAAATGAAATGATGCTGAATTTTATCAAAGGCTTTTTCTGCATCTGTTGAGATAATCATATCATTTTTCTCCCTAATTCTGTTTATGTGATATATCACGTTTATTGATTTGTGTATATCAAACTATCCTTGCATCTCTGGTATGAGTCCCACCTGATCATAATGCATTATCCTTTTTATGTGCTATTGGATTTAATTTTCTAGTATTTTGTTGAGCGTTTTTGCATCTGTTGAAGTATACTGGTCTGTAGTTTTTGTGTCCTTGTCTGATTTTCATATCAGGGTGACACTGGCCTTGTAGAATGAGTTTGGGAGAATTCCCTTCTCCTTAATTTTTTGGAATAGTTTCAGGAGGATTGGTATTAATTCTTCTTTGTGTGTTTGGTAGAATTCTGCTGTGAATCCATCTAGTCCTGAGCTTTTTGTTGTTGTTACTGGAAGTTTGGTTGGGGGGTTGTTTTGTTTTTTTGGTTTTGGGGTTTTTTGTTTGTTTGTTTTTAGTAATTCAGTCTTGCTACTCATTATTGGTTGTTCAGGAGTTGTACTTCTTTCTAGTTCAATCTTGATAGGTTGAGCATTTCCAGGAATTTATCAATTTCCTCTTGGTTTGTGCTTGTACAGTTTTTCATGATAGTCTCTGAGAATCTCTTGCATTTCTGTGGTATCAGTTGTAATGTCTCCTTTTTTCATTTGTTATTATGTTTATTTGGGAGTTTTCTGGTTAGCTAGTGATTTATCAATTTTCTTTTAAAAGAACCAACTTTTTGTTTCATTGGTCCTTTGTATTTTTTGGTCTCTATTTCCTTTAGTTCTGCCCTGATCTTTGTTATTTATTTTCTTCTGCCAACTTTAGGTTTGGTTTATTCTTTTTATATTAATAGTCACTGAAGTTGTAATGTTGGGATGTTCATTTGTGATCTTTCTCCCTTTTTGATGTAGATATTTAATGCTATAAACTTCCCTCTTGGCACTGTTTTTGCTATATCTCACAGGTTTTGGTGTGTTATGTTTTTGTTTTCATTCATTTCAGAAAAAATAATTTCTGTCTTAATTTTTGTTATCAACCCAGTGATTAGTCAGGAGCATGCTCTTTAATTTTCATATATTTATGTAGCTTCCAAAGTTCCTCTTGATGTTGATTTCTAGCTGTATTCCACTATGATCTGAGATAATTTGATTGTTTCAAAATGATATAATTTTGATTGTTTTAAATTTTTTAGGACTTGTTTTGTGGCCTAACATGTTGTCTATCTTGGAAAATTTTCCATGTGCTGATGAAAAGGATGTATATTTTATGGTTCTTTGATAAAATGTTCTATAAGTCTGTGAATTTCCTTTGGTCTAAAGTCCAGTTTAAGTTCAATGTTTCTGTTAATTTTCTGTCTTGGTGATCTGTCTGGTGCTATGAGTAAGGTGTTAAAATCCCTACTATTATTGTATTGCTGTCAAATTCTTTCTTTAGATCTAGTAGTATTTGTTTTGGGTGCTCCAAAGTTGGGTGCATATGTATATATATAGAATTGTTATATTCTCTTGCTGACAATTGTTAATCTTCTGGCTCTCAAATGGTCCCTTTATCATTATATAATGACCTTCTTTGCCTTTTACTACCTTTTTTGATTTAAAGTCTATTTTATCTGATATAAATATATCTACATCTGCTTGTTTTTGGTTTCTGTTTGCATGGAATATCTTTTTCCAACTATTTGCAATCAATGTATATGTCTTTACAGGTGAGTTTCTTACAGGCAGCATATAGTTGGATAACGTTTTTAATCAATTCTGCCAATCTGCATTTTTTAAGTGGGATATTTAATCCATTTACATTCAAGGTTAATACTGACATGTGAGTCTTTGTTCCTGTCATATTATTGATTGTTTTCAAGCTGTTTTATAAATTCTTTGTTTCTTTATTGTTCTTTTTCTGTTATTGTGGTTTGATGAAATTCTGTTGCATTGACATTCGATTCCTTTCTCTTCCTGCTTTGTGTGATTGTTTTGTATAAACAAAGCAAGTTTTATATTTACATGTGTTTTTGTGATGATAAATATTGAGATTTCATTTCCATGTTTAAGACCACTTTAAGCACTTCCTATTGTGCTGATTTAGTATTGACAAATTCACTCAGGATTTGCTTGTCTAGGAAGAACTTTCCTCTTCATTTACGAAGCTTATTCTGGCAGGATACAAAATTTTTGGCTGACAAATAACGTTTTAAGCATATAGGAAATACATGAAGTAATGTAATAAACCTGTCACCCAGCCTCCACAGCTACTAATCATGTGCCATTTTTGTTTCATCTATATTTCAACCCACTCCTCACACCCCCAACTGTATTATTATTTTAGGGTTTTTTTGGTGAGACAATGTATATACATTAAAAAGTAGAATCTTAACTGTATCCTTTTGAGAAAACAATACCCATATAAACTTCCTCCTTCTAAGAATAAAATTCCTAGCCGGGAATGATGCCACCTGTAACACTAGCACTTTGGAAGGCCGAGGTGGGCGGATCACCTGAGGTCAGGAGTTCGAGACTAGCCTGGCCAACATGATGAAATGCTGTTGCCACTAAAAATACAAAAGCTAGCCTGGTATGGTGGTGCCTGCCTGTAGTCTCAGCTACCTGGGAGGCTGAGGCAGGAGAATTGCTGGAACCCAGGAGGCAGAGGCTGCAGTGAGCTGAGATCACACCACTGCACTCTAGCCTGGGTGACAGAGCAAGACTCTCTCTCAAAAAAAGGAAAAAAAAAGAATAAAATTCCCCACTTCACAAACATTAATGTGCATATGAATCACTTGGGAATATTATGCATCAGAGGTTGAAGAGGTGGCCAGGAAAAGTATTTTGATGGCAGACTGGAGAGCATCATGAGAGTCAACTTTGGGCCTGTTGACTATCATCTCGGCAATAAGTGTTGGGTCCTGGCCAAAGGGCTTGGATGCAACATGGGGCCAATCAATAAATCCATCCCCCATGCTTTTCCTGGCCATTAGGTAATCAGCAGCCTAGTTCATGTCTTGATGGGAAGCTCTGCCATGTGGAAGCATCACATCTTAGGTTTCTTGACAACTGGATGACTTTTGAGAACAGATCTAGGACAGATCTATTCTTGGATTGTGGACAGGCATCAGCCTACTAACATCATATGGAACAGGTGACATCCAAATATGTTAAGAACTTCTGACAATGAAGAGTAAAACACACACTCAATTTTAAAAGGCACAGGACCTATGAAAACATTTTATGGTAAAAGAAATAACAAATGGTCATTTCCCACATAAAGAGGCATCCAACCTCATTGGTGGTCACAGGAAAATAAATTACAAAAAAAATGTTTTGTGTGACCATCAGTTAGGAAAATTGAACGCTTCCTACTAATATTTTCATGGTAAGTAAAAACATACTAGCCAGTCATAGGGTCTCATGCCTGTAATCTCAGCACTTTGGGAAGCTGAGACATGAGGATCCCTTAAGCTCAGGAGTTTGAGGCTATAATGAGCCATGATCATGCACTCCAGCCTGGGTAACAGAGAGTGAGACCCGTTTCTAACTAAATAAATAAATGAGTGAATGAACATACATACATACATATATACACACTGGTTTTTACATGTTTATAGGGAGTGTAAATGGCCTTTTAAGGCACCATTAACAAATATGTATTGAGTTGAAAGAAACATGTTCTTGCATGCAGGATTCTACCTCCTAGAATGCATCTGATAACACTACTTGAAAATGTGTGTAGAAGTGCCCATGCTAGCATGTTAGTAGTGGACATATAAATAATAGCAAAACAAAACAAAACAAAAGTACATATATGTGAGGAATCTTTTTGGTTATGCTGGGTTTCTAAGATAATGTTCATAGAAGCAAATCAAATCAAATTAAGAGCAACTGAGCAGGAAATGAGGGAGGAAAATACCCTCAGAGTTATAAGATTATCTCATTACACTTAAGTTTTGATGATGCTTCAAGTTTCCTGGGTAAGTTATGCAGAAGTATCTTTCTCTGAAAATCTTCTTGCTGCAGAAAAAACCGTGTTTAGTGTCTGTATGTGTCTTAACTTCCCATCTGCACCTGGGGGTTAGGATAAAGGGCACAGTCCTTGCCTGTGTTTTGGAGTGAAAGAAGCATTGAAGGTCTTGCAAACTTTACCAAGGATTCTCCTGGTCTCATTTCAGATCCAACTTCCAATTCCAGGCAGCCTCTGTATTTTTTTTTTGAATGTATAATCAAGATGTACTTTGATTTGCACTCTATTGCTATTTGGCCTGTACATGCAGTTTCAAGATAGCCCCATACACCTGCCTGCAGTGATCCTTCAGGAATAGAATGGGCTTCTAAGTTGAGGAACTTGAGAGTATACTGAGCCCTTTGTGTATTTTTATTGAGTTTCTTTACTCATGCCAGGAGAAGGCTGTGGACAAACAGTAAAGGAGGAGACACTGGAATTGTGATGTCCAAAGATTCCAATGTTCAAGGATTATTTCAATCCTTCAGATATCTCATTTTCTTTGTTCCTTCTGTTCCTTATTAAAGGGTCCTGGGGTCAGAAGTTGCTGAGGCTTTCTTGGTTTCAGCATCTGCTTCTGCCATGGGTTTGGGGACAGGGTCCCACCACAGCATTTCACTGGGCACCTCCTGATGCTGGCCATGTGTCCTAAAATCTGGAGCAGCGATGTCAGTGAGTCAGCATCAATCACAGGTGGCTTTCAGAGGTTCTTGTGAGGATATATTTTTGGATTTGAGTATTGGTTTTTCAGGACAGGAAACAGACAAGTGGCTCATTAGGTGTCTGGAAATTCATAATGCAAAGTCATATCCACAACTTGTTATAAACAGAAACACAAAGAGAAAGAACCAAAGTATGCAAGGTTGATGATGATAATCCAGCTGAATGGATCAGCCTAGATCATGGATGCCAAGCAGACTCTACAGAGCATAGTGGGGCTCCCAGGGTGACTGAGGGACAATGAGGTAGAGGGAAGGTTTCCCTCTTCAGCTGGACTTTTTGCTGCCTCAAGAATTCAGTTGATTGGGTTAGCTTTACATGTGATTTAATCAGTCCAATGCAGTCGCATTTGATCTAATCATCTCCCCCACTTTCAAGCTAGGAAAGCATATTTTATTTGGTGTTTACTTTTTCTCTGCATTATTATCTTACCACATATGCATGTATCTAATGTAATGAACTATAATTTGATATTTGTCATTTCCAAGCATTTGAGAAATTATAACATCTATGTGTACAATTTTAACACTATATATAATTTTCTTCATCTGCAAAGTATATATACACATGTCAATATGTGGTCTGTCTAATTCTGCATCTTGAAATCTGGGCAGGGTCTTAAATACTTCAAGGTGGGTATTGGGGTACAAATCAGATAAGGAAAAGTTCCTTGCATTCCTGTTCCTTTGCCCCTAGCTTTGAATTCCTGCTTATTAACATGATGACAGGGCTCTGCAAGTCTCCCCTTATCTGTGTCTAGGTCCCCAGGGCATTCAGGATGGAAAAATTTCTTACTGAGGCCATGACGAGTGTCAGGAGTGACCCATGCCCAGCTTAAGGGCTTAGAAAAGCAGGTTCACAAGAACAACCTGCACCTGATTCTGGGCATGTGCGAGAGAGTGAGCACCTTTCACTGGAGCTTCACCATGGGATGGGGAACTGAAGACCAGACTCCCACTGCCCCTCCATCCAATGCTCCATTGACCCACCTTCTTTCCAACAGATCTCCTTTACAGAAAGGGGCTTGGATAAGGAGGAAAAACCATCAGAAGAAAAGATAAGACACCCTCTTCTCATTCAGTAAGAGCCCCGCGCAAGGCAAGGTAAAGTCTTTAGCTGTTCCTATGGAGGCTGGCAGGAGGGGTAGAATTAGGGATACTGATCTGTGTCTTTAGTGGGGTTTCATTTTGAGATTAGAAATGGGAAATGACTTATGGTCATCAGAGAGATTTCAGAAATATGGCGATGATCCCCTGGAATTCTATGCTTCCCATTCACACTCAACACTGACTGAACAGCCTTGATTGAGTGAATGACCCACAAATATGGGTCAGGTGTAGACTTTGGGGCTCTGTGCCTAGGAAGAGATGAGTCACCTAAACTTTCTTTTCCACTAAGATCAGAGCCCAATTCAAATGAGGAATAGAATTCCAAGGAAAGTAAGCTCAAAGTCAGAAAAGCACTGCTAAATTATGTAAGATGTGATTCTTCCAAGGTGAGAAGAGATAGTGGATGGGTAAACACAGTCTCCTCTGGGAAGGGACTGGGAGCTCTTCGGCATCCAGGGTCTTACACATCTTGGACTCTGGAGAACAGAGAAGAACCGAGTTTTGTGGTAACCTCTGCTATGGTGTGTCCAGGATGGATTAGAGCACCTAAGGTGTTCAGTTGGAGGCAGTCACTCAAACTTTCATTTTATTCACAGAATCAGAGTCCGGCTCAGAAGGGGAAACTCTAGGAAGAGAGAAATCCATTCCATGGACAACTGCCAAGATAGAGCAGGTGGCATCTTGCTTTTTTGTTCCAAAGGGCAGATAAGCAGGTTATTTATACAGAGCTTGAGGAGGAAAGGGGTTTCTCAGTGGCTGTGAGGATTTTAGAGATCCTGACATCCAGAAAGCATTTGGGGTCCCAGGAGGGGTTTAGCCTCCTTTCCTTAGGGAGGCAGAGGGGGCCAGGAAGGAGGAGGAAAGACAAATGGGGTTCACCTGAAGGTGCATGGGGACATTCTGAGAATGAGCATCCGTGGGAGCTATTCTGGTAAGTCTCTCACTCACATGCTTCCTCTTCAAGACACCATCAATCACATGAGCCAAAACTGCAAAAGGATTGCTTGACTTTGGAAAAGAAACACAAGGCCTCTGACACTGTACATATCAGTGAAATGAGGAGACCCATGATGCCTGCTGTGGGGGATCCAGAGAGGCCCACACTAGGCACAGTGAGTGGCCCGGATCTCAGTCTCAAGAGACCTCCCACTGCCACTTCAGAAAAGCCTGGTGACCTCTCTGCACACTCCATCTGAAGCCAGTTATCACAACACAGCCCAGGTGTGGGAACAGTAGGCATATTCTCTGCTGACCTGGCAGCACCTGTCTGAGCTCATCTGGCTCCAGGGGCCTCTGTGCTGTGGTACAAACCTGTGCCATGGCCACCCAGGTGGCCTATGTCTTCCCCGCTGAGGGCTGGCTCATCACAGTCACACTGCCTGGTCCCTAGGGTGGAGAAGCTCAGAGCTCTTCCTAGGAAGAAAATGGGCCCGCCCCTTCCCTGGACAGGAGATAAAGGAGCCTGTTGGTAGATCAAATGAGGCTTTAGCTGGGGTCACCCAGACCCTATTCAATAGAGGACACAGCTGTGTGAGAGTGAGAAGAAAGACCTGCTACTTTTTAGGCAATTTTAGACACACTGTGTTAATACATGACAAAACAGGGGGCACTCTTGGGAAAGGAGTTTGAACAATACCCTCAAAGTAGAAACTTTCATTTAGGTCTAAAACTACTGATAAATTTTGTATTTCATGTTAGACATTTGATGTTTTTGGATGTTTTATGACAGTCACGCATTTCTTTGTAATAAAAAATATTAGGGTATAATCATTCATATGTGTTTGTGTATTGCAAAGTATAGCAAAACAAATATATATGTAGATCCTCCCCCTATAAGTCAGAAAAGACTAGCTCTTTACTCTCCCACCCTGAGTCAATAAAGGACTGATATCTGCTAACCTTTAACAGTTTTCTCTAGGGAGAGATGTTGGTATTTTTTCAATTGGATGAACAAATAAAATCACCATGCTGTTGTTTCATTTTCTTTGTTCTAAAACTGTCAGAATGTATTAAATGCTTGTTGATCATATTTTTATTTATTCTTCAACCTGGATTATATTATTTGCCTAATTTTAAACTTCCATTTTACAGGTTTCAATTGAGCTTATTTTTAAAAACAGCTTCATTAAAGTATAATTAACCTTCAATAAGCTGCATATATTTAAAGTGTTTATTTTTTTGATGTGTGTGTATACCTGGGGAATCATCAACACAGTCAAGACAATGAACATATCAATTCCCCCCAGACATTTTATCATGATTACTTACCCCCATGGCGATTCTTCCTTTGCACTCCTTCCAACCCATCTCTAAGCAACCACCGCTTCCGGTAACAATGGATTGATTTTCACTTTCCAAAATTCTGTATAAATAGACTCACACAGCATAAGGTCCATTCCCACTGTAGCAGGTACCAACAGTTCATTGCCTTTCAATGCAAAATTGCATTCTAGAGCTTTATTCATTCACTAGTTGAAGATAATGTAAATTGTGTCTAGTTTTTGTCTATTACAAATAAAACTGGCATGAATATTCATGTACCAGTTGCTGAATAGGCATACATTACAATTTCCCTTAAGTAAATACTTCAGAGTTTAATGTCTAAAAAAGGGAACAACCACCAAACTGTTTTGGAAAGGGGTGATATCATTACACATTCCCATGAAGACTGTACGAGGGTCCCATTTCCCCTACGTTCTCATCACATTTGGTGTAGTCCCTCTTTTTAATTTTTTAATTTTTCCCTTTTTTTAACTTTTATTTTAGGTTCAGGGGTTCATGTGAAGGTTCGTTACATAGGTTGAAGATTTGTTACATAGGTAAATATATGTCACAGGGATTTGTTGTACAGATTACGACATTACCCAGGTATTAAGCCTAGTACCCAAGTTACTTTTTCTGCTCCCTCCTCCCAATTTCCACCCTCAAGTAGACCCCAGTGTCTCTTGTTCCCTTTTTTGTGTTTCCCTTTTTTGTGTCCTTGTGTCCTCATCATTTGGCTTTCACTTATAAGTGAGAACACATGGTATTTAGTTTCCTGTTCTTGTATTAGTTTGCTAAGGATAATAGCTGCCAGTTCCATCCATGTTTCTGTGAAAGACATGATAATGTTTCTTTTGGCTGCATAGCATTCCATTGTGTATATGTACCACATTTTCTTTATCCAGTGTGTCACTGATGGGCATTTAGGTTGATTCCATGTCTTTGCTATTGTGAATAGTGCTGCAATGAACATTCACATGCACGTATCTTTATGGTAGAATGATTTATATTCCTCTGGGTATATATCCAGTAATGGGATTACTAGGTCTAATGGTATTTCTGTTTTTCAGTCTTTGAGGAATCACCATACTACTTTCCACAATCATTGAACTAATTTACACTCCCACCAACAGTGTGTAAGTGTTCTCTTTTCTTCACAGCCTCACCAGCGTTATGTTTTGACTTTTTAATAGGCATTCTGACTGGTGTGAAGTGGTATCTCATTGTGGTTTTGATTTGCATTTCTCTAGTGTTCAGTAATATTGAGCTTTTTTTCAGATACTTGTTGGTCACATGTATGTCTTATTTTGAAAAGTGTGTGTTCATGTCCTTTGCTCACTTTTTAATGAGGTTGTTTGTTTTTCTTTTGTAAATTTAAGTTCCTTGCGATAGGAGACCTTTGTCAGGTGCATAGTTTGCAAAAACTTTGTCTCATTCTGTAGGTTGTCTGTTTACTCTGTTGATAATTTCTTTTGCTGTGCATAAACTCTTAAGTTTAATTAGATACCATTTGTCAAGTTTTGCTTTTGTTGTGATTGCTTTTGGTGTCTTTGTCATGAAATATTTGCCCATTCTTGTGTCTAGGATGGTATTGTCTAGGATGTCTTCCAGGGTACTTTATAGTTTTTGGTTTTACATTTAAATCTTTAGTCTATTGTGAGTTGATTTTTGCATATGGTATAAGAAAGGGGTCCAGGTTCAATCTTCTACATATGTCTAGCCAGTTATCCCAGCACAATTTATTGAATAGGGAGTCTTTTCCCCATTGCTTCTTTTTGTCAGCTTTGTCAAAGATCAGATGGTTGTAGCTGTGTGGCCTTACTTCTGGCCTCTCTATTATGTTCCATTGGACTATGTGCCTGTTTTTTACCAGTACCATGCTGTTTCGGTTACTGTAGCCCTGTAGTATAGTTTGAAGTCAGGTAGCATGATGCCTCCAGCTTTGTTCTTTTTGCTTAGGATTACCTTGTCTATTCAGGCTCTCTTTGGGTTCCATATGAATTTTTAAATAGTTTTTTCTAGTTCTGTGAAGAATTTCATTGGCAGTTTGATAGGAATAGCATTGAATCCGTACATTGCTTTGGGCAGTATAATCATTTTAATGATATTGATTCTTCCTATTCATGAGCATGGAATGTTCTTTCATTTGTTTGTGTCGTATCTGATTTATTTGAGCAGTGTTTTGTAATTCTCATTGTAGGGGTCTTTCGCCTTCCTGGTGAGCTGTATTCCTAGAAATTCTGTTCTTTTTGTGGCGATTGTGAATGGGATTGCCTTCCTGATTTGGCTCTCAGCTTGTCTGTTGTCGGTGTACAGGAATGCTAGTGATTTTTGTATGTTGATTTTGTATCCTGAAACTTTGCTGAAGTTGTGTATCAGCTGAAGGAGCTTTTGTGCTGAGACCATGGAGTTATCTAGGTATGGAATTATGTCATCTGCAAACAGGGATAGTTTGACTTCCTGTCTTCCTATTTGAATGCCCTTTATTTCTTTGTCTTGCCTGATTGCTCTGTCTGGAAGTTTCAATACTACATTGAATAGGAGTGGTGAAAATGAGCCTCCTTGTTTCATGCTTGTTTTCCAGGGGAATGCTTCCAGCATTTGCCCATTAACTATAATGTTGGCTGTGGGTTTTTCATGGATATCTCTAATTGTTTTGAAGTATGTTCCTTTGATACCTAATTTATGGAGAGTTTTTAACATGAAGCAGTGTTGGGTTTTATCAAAAGCCTTTTCTGCATCTATTGAGATAATAATGTGGTTTTGTCTTTGGTTATGTTTATGTGATGAATCACATTTATTAATTTATGTATGTTGAACCAATCTTGCATTCCAGAGATGATGCCTACTTCATCCTGGTGGATTAGTTGTTTGATGTGTTGCTGGATTTGGTTTGCAAGTATTTGTTGAGGATTTTTGCATCAATATTTATCAAAGATATTGATCCTAAAGTTTTCTTTTTTTATTGTGTCTCTGCCAGGTTTTGGTATCAGGATAATGGTGGCCTCATAGAATGAGTTGGGGAGGCCTCCCTCCTCAATGTTTTGGAATCGTTTCAGTAGGAATAGTACCAGCTCTCCTTTGTACATCTGGTAGAATTTGACTGTGAATCCATCTTGTCCTGGCCTTTTTTTAATTGATAAGCTATTTATTACTGACTCAATTTTGGAGCTCATTATTGGTCTGTTCAGGGAATTAATTTCTTCTTGGTTCTGTCTTGAGAGGGTGTATATGTCCAGGAATTGATCCATCAGGATCAATCCATCTGAGGACCCCCAGAGGATGGGAGCTTGTTCTGGAAATCACAGCAGCTCTTGTCACATTTTCACCAACCTGTGGCTCTATGGAAGAAGCATCACTTTAAAATCCCAATTAACGAACATTGAAGTAAATATTTTTTCCTTCTTTGTGGTTCCCAGTGCAGCTGAATGTGGTCAGATATGGGCATGCTTTTTCATATGGATTCAAAGGATCAATGGAGCTCAAATAAGCTGTCATTAAAACATCTGTTTACTACTGTAATATTTATTTAAAATAAAATAAAAGTAATAAAACCTACTGTCTGTTCCTCTCACCTCTTTCGGGGACAAGTGGCAGTCCAATCATATAATCACTTTGTCTCTTTTTATGGTGGAAATTGACCTGAGGGAAAAAAAAACCTTTGAACATGTTTGTGTCCATTGGGTATTTTCCATTTTATTACCTTAAAAAAGGATCACTAGTACTAATTGTTGTCATGGTTTGTGTGATTTAACTCTTTTGAAGTCACACTTTCAGAAAAACAGGTAGAAACCACTTCCCATCACAGCCCAGATCTTTTCTTTCCTTTTTTCCTTATGTATCACCAAAGAAATCTGCGTAATAGTTTTACTTCTGTATACACACACACACACAAAGACAAGAATAGAATGTCTTTTTACTTCTATCAGCCAGATGAAAACAGACTTCATGGAGCTTTGTATCATGAAATTAGAAATCATTTTTATTTATACAAAAATTATGGAAACAATTTTCCTTAGTTTTGACGAGTTTCCCTAAGTTCTAAAGCTGAACACAAGCATTTCCTGACATATCCTCAAGAACAGCAATAGCCTGAAACACATTTGAAAAACACATTAGTATAGAACCCACGCACCCCTCCACAGTCTATCTTAAGAAGAGTTCCTTGGTCACACCCTAGTCCTCTGCCACAGGCCCCAAGACGTCCATGAAGCTCTCTTCCTTATCTCAGGGGAAAAAGCTCCCTGGGCATCGGACCCTCTGGGGGTCACCTTCCCAGCACTGGCGGTGCATCAGAGCCCCCTGGGGGCTTCAGGCTTGCTGATGCCTGGACCCTAAGCTGGATCACCCCATCAGAATCTCTGGGATGGGACCTCATAGGATGGTGAAATCCTCTGTAGGGAGTTCTAATCTGCACCTTGCTGTGAATCCCACTTACTGAAGTTCTTGCCTCCCTGTGGTACATTAAGATGAGGAAAGACAAAGGTCATCCCTGCCCTTAGAGCAGCTCATGACAAAGAGAATTCTGTTCTTCTGAGGCTGTGGATGTCAACCCAGGCTGCATGTGAATATCATGCAGGGAGATTTTCACAAACACGATGGTCTGCTCCAACAGAACGTGTTTCTTAGACCTGTTTCTCCACATTTCTTGGGATGAGTTTATCAAAACGATTTTACTTCTCCTTTGTAGATGCCAGTTTTACACGTCTTTCTCTTG